ATATATATATATATATATATATATATATATATATATATATATATATATATATATATACATAATTTTTGCTGAGGCTAACAAGTTCCCACCCTTCTACTGCTCATGTAGGTCCGCCTCTGAATAAATTAATCAAGCAACACTCATTTCAATAACATTGAACTGATTATCATGCAGGCACACGCATACACAAAACCAAAAGAGGTGTTCTTTATACATAAAGCTGATGAATTTGAACATTAAGACAAGAAAATAATTTAGAAAAAGAAGAGTTTTGACAGGATTATACCTGTAATGAACTGGAGACGCAGGGGAAACCTAAGTGATAAATTAACCAGTATTATTTTGAGGCCTAAGGCAGCTGGACCATACATTTGATGAGTTCAACTGAATTCATCATCTTCGACACGAAATATAGATATACAAGTAAATGGATTCACTGCAAAAAGCCTTAAAGACGTTGCAGCACAGAGTTGCATTAGAATAACCAAATGAAATGGCAGCAATTGGTGTACAATTGATTTAAAACTGGAACCTGAATTGATGCATACATTGATTACATTAGCCATGGGGCTGAAAGTTTCTAAGCAGATTGAAAAACATCACATATCTGCATGTTATATATATTGTCACTAAATTACCTATGGCACACCTTGATTTACATGCGACGATGAATCGAATATTACATGCAAGGAGAAAAGTGAACTAAACATGATCTCCGTTTAGGATCTAGTCTATTCACTCAGGGATCAGCATGTCCAACAACTTCGTCATCACTATCGCTCTGTCCACTGAAATCCTCTTCACTAATCTCTTCATCACTCTCATCTTTCGGTGAGCCAACGATGTTCTCCTTCTTTGCATATCGCTCACAATACTCTGCATCATAAAATGATGTGTTGAACGATGTATGGTCATTGGTTTACATTCTCATACATGGTTAAAAGATCCATTTCATTACAAACACATATTTACAACGTAGAATATCTGACTAACATACACGTTGGCCATGGTTGTCAAATTACCTTTCACTTTTTGCTCATACTGATTCTTGTCTTTCATCATCAGAGATGCTGCATCACCATTCAATGGATCCGAAGGATTTGGATATAGCAAAAGCTGGGGCAGGAACACCTCAAATACATTTAAGAGATCTGCACATCGGCATATGCTTGGTCAGATGTGGAAAAGCTCACAGTTCAGGAACATTTTATGAAGTTGTCAACACCTAGGGCTGAATTTCCATAAACAATTTCTTGAAAAGAACGTATATGGAGTGTAAGAACAAAGCTAACTTATACGACTCATGCCTTAAATCAGACACAAGAATGACACCTTTCGTCATTTTCATTTCAACAGAAGATGTTTTCTACATAATCTGAACAGTGAAATGAGAGTTGAGCTTCTATTAAGGTTGTCAATGCCTACACTAGTGCCACAGCATAGAAAAAAATTGACTTGTATTAATTCATGTGTACAGCCTGTGCTTAAAGAAACTTGAGCATAAACCTTCAGTTAGTGGACAAAGTAAAAGGCATTTGTGTGAAACAAACTAAAAGAAGACTTCATGTGTTTAAACTTTCGTTTCACTCTAAAAGTCTTAGAGCAGTATGCAATTACCAAACATAGGGCTCCATGACTGATTGATGACATCCAAACATACAGAGCCAGACCTGCAATAACAGATGAATCTCGTGAGTAATGGTGCATTACCATTTTCCTCAGAGGCACTCTGAAGAATTGTGGTACAGAGGTTTGTTAAAGAGACTAAAAGATGGAAGGGGGCCAATACACATATGACTATCTAACACATCTTACATGTGACTAACAAAGTAACAGCAAATTGCTTAAAATGCAGAAAGAATGTATATGTAGCTCACAGCTCATCAACATTGGGGTGAAATATTTTGTTGAGAAACCCAATGGAAGGAGACTTGTAAGGATAAGCATCTGGTAACTCGACCCTTATTTTCCAGACTCCGCCTTCATAAAGACCTGTAACAAAAATCATACACAAAACCAACTAACTCTATCAGTCTGCATATCTAAGAAAATAGCTCCATCTCCCATAGCAATACCATATGAATATGTAATATGCTGCTCTGCGGGAAAAGCAAGTGCAAGATTCTGATAGACAAGCTACTTTAGTGACTGAGAGCAGAAATGTCTTGATTGGCTATTCTTATGCTAAAAATATTGGCTGATGAGTGTTAAAGTTATGACATTTTTGAGATAATTAAGAGACAAAATTTTAAGTATCAGTGTATATAGAAACTAATCCATGTAATCCAATTAGATTGCTGCCCTCTCTTCAAAAACTAACTTTAAGAAGGAGAAATCCAATCAAGGGAAAGATGATCCTTCAACAAAATCACAAAACCAATAAAAGACAAAGCTAAATGAGTATCTTCGTGGCATTACTTTCTTTTGGGCCGTGAAATTCCACATTGAACTCCGTAATTCCATCATTTATTGTCTCCACTGTGTAATCACTCATCATCCTGCGAAATGAAAATGAGATAAAAAACTCATGGTGGTAAATGAAAACCTGCCATATTGACTTTCATATGTATAATACACTGATCAGATAAGATGAAGTAAAAGTCAAACTGTTTAGAATCAGTAAAAATATATCAATGACAGCAAGAAAACTATATCTCGGACGTTCTTACAATTTCATAACATCCATATCTCTTCTTTTGCTTGGAGAAGACATTTCTCAACTAACTATTGATCCTCAAATCTGCGTAATGAAGGAAAGAGTTCAACATATCTGTTCAATAAATAAGATGCAAATAAAGAAATCAAACAATGAAGTGAGAAATTACACGGCTGTTTCACACAAGCATAAGAAGAAAATGGTTACAACAACGACTACATGCCTTAATCCCAAGCAAGTTGGGGTCAGTTACATGAATCTTTATTTAAGTATATCTCAATCCAACATTATAAGAATTTAGTTTCTCTAGCACTAGAAGTTCTCTATATTTGCTACGGGCAGATATGACTCTGACAACGCCACTTCGCCAACTGGCGTTACCTGCACTTAAAAGACTCTTAGTGGTCATTGGACTTACAGTAAATTACTAACAGGACTAAACCTTAGGCCCAACTAATAGATATTGCTTATATAGATTCTTTTTCTTCCTTATATCATATTTTTCACGAGGTTCACGTATATCTTAAGAGATTGTAGCTCTTTCAAGACAACTTCCTTCAATGCGATTGTAGGTCTACCTGGTCCCCTTTAAACACCTTCAAGGATGACTGAATAAAAGAACTAAGAGAAGATCTCTAGGAAACATCAGCATCCAAAGGCGAAACTCAGTTTCGAACTCATCCCATCAGTGAGTTTAATACTTAATACCACTGAGCTGCTCAACCCTTCATTTAACTTATTACTACTAGTTCATCTATTGAAACACACAGTGATGCATTTCAAACACTTCAAAGACAAGGGTCCTTTAAAAGTAGCTTTTCTTACAAAACGATGGACTTGAATTTGACTTACAGCTTTTGAGCAATCATGATGTCAACACAATTAGAATACAAGTTGGTATCACCATATCAAGCAACTATACGTCTGTGGTCACATCGTGTTAAACAACTTGTCATTGCCTCTTCATCAGTAATCTAGTTAAGGGGGACGCTTTTGCAGGTGCATAAATTACATGAAATTGTATTAATGGGGAAGTGTGGAGTTAATGATAAGCCTTTGAGTTTCATCTGTTCCTGATAGTAGCATAGCTACAAAAGGGTATTTTTTACCAGGGCATCACAATCAAGTTACACTAACCACCTTAGTCTTGCTTAATTATTAGTATAGATTTCAATAACAACATTTTCATTTGGCCTTAAAGTGGCAAACCACATCTAACACGATATCAAAAAGAAATTTGCAGAGCCATAATGCAGTTCAAAAAGTAAAATTAAGACAGACGCAAAAAAGTTTTTAGAAGTCAAAGTTGACATTGCAAAATACTGATAAACTTGACTCCCTCAAAATAGATAAATCCATCCCAAGAACCACTGCACAAAGCAAATTGATAAAAACTGAAAGAACCAAAACATCCAAATATTTTAGTCTAGCCTTGGCAATGCACAATTAAATGGTCGGATGAACCAAATATTGAAAAGATCAAAACTTTGGCAGATTTAAGCAGAACAGACCCAACCCATCAAAGTAAAAATACCATTAAACAATCACAATTCATTCAATTGCCACAACATGCGAGCACAATACACAACATCAAGACTAAAGTTCTTATGAGATACAATATCAAAGATGAACTTAGACGAACCAGAAATATGGGCAAAAGTAGAAGATCTGAATTGGACAAAACAATCAATCAAAAGAAATAAATAAGAGAGAAAAAGGACAATAAATAAAAGGGAGAGGGGGAAAAGGGGAAAGTGTCGACATGTTGGCGTTGAGGCAGAGTTACATACAGAGTTGAAAAGGGGCACGTGCTATGTGCCAACAACTGACCACAAATTACGTGGCTTTGTTTTGCATATTGCGTTAATATTTTTTAATGATTTTCTTTTTTACCATTCCTTGCATTTACCTTGGCTTCTTCTTCACTCACTCCACTCCCCATTTCTGTAACTGAATCAAAAAACAAAGGTACCCCATGTCAGTAGCATACCCGTATTTGGCTCTTCTCCACTACTTTAAATAATTGGACAATTTTATCTGGACTAATAATATAAATTTTGTTGGCCTTAATTTTTTCGCTTGTTTAATGTTGCTTTGGAAATTGGAAATAAGTTTTTCGGACTTGACTTTCTTAGAACTGTGGAAATGCTTTCGACATTTCTGTTTGATGTTAAATATCACCTGAAACTTGCGAAAGCTGCAATACAGTAAATAGTTTTGCTGTTTGTTTCGATAGGAGTTAATTTATAGACCCCGCACCTCTTTCCATTTCCCCCATTTTCTAAATTAGCAAAGTTTTTGCATTTATTTTCCTGTTCTTTTGTACTTGTTCTGCTTAGGCTTGGGCAACGAACCGGGCTCGGCTAGATTTCATTTTAACTCGGCTCGAATTCGAACGTTAGAAAGAAGGGGGGAAGAATTTGGAAATAAAACGAAAGATCAGAAGTGTACAATTTTGGCATAAAGTTCTTAATCTATTCATTTTGGCAAATTGATCAACTACCAATATACAACAAGAGTCCAATTAGGACGTTGTAAGTTTAATACTAGGTACTTTGTTGTTGTTAAGTTTAAGGTTTGCAAAACAATAGCACTGACAAGAGTGATTGCTCTAGTAGTGAACACCTTCCACTTCCAATCAAGAAATTGTGAGTTCGAGTCACCCCAAGAGTAAGGTGGGGAATTCTTGAAAAAAGGGAATTAAGTTTCTATCGAAAACAGCCTCTCTATTCCAGGATAGGGGTAAAGTCTGCGTACAAACTAGAGATTATACTGGGTTGTTGTTGTTGAAAAAAAAAAAATAGCACTTTAAATTTAATAATGGCATACATGAATCTGATTTATCTGCACTTTTGTCAAAAAAAGTTGACGTTATTTGGCAATAAAGAGAATTCTCTTTCTTCCTGTTTGACTTGTGTTCAAAAAGGAAATGTATCATCATAAAGCTCACATCTGTAATGCATTTCTCTAATCCATTCATAAAACCCCCACAATAATTGTAAACAGATCCTCACATCCAATTCAAAATTTAAAGCAATAGGTGGTTTTGTTCAGAAATAAAGTGTATCATAATAAACTCCCAATGGTAAAGCACCTCTTCTCTAATCAATTCATATATAAAAAAACCAAAAATAATTGAAAAGAATTTTGAACATCCATTTCAAAACCTAAAGCAATAGGTGAACCTTCTTACAAAGCTATTTATATCCAATGTGAGACACTATAATACTCATCAGTAATGCTAGAGAATAAGAGTTTTTTGAGTTCGGATCCTTAAAACTTAACCCTCAAGAAGCCACAATTAACTCAATTTCAAATAACATCAAAATTAAAACCACGCAAATCAGAGAGAAAGCACGACAGTCACGTCCCCCCTTAAAAAACATAAACACATCATTATTTTCACTCTGTTATTTATTTTCCTCAATTTTTTTTCCTGTGTGGTAGGGGGTGGTTGGGGCGGCAATGCCAGCCATGAAAAGAACTACCTCCTAGCAAGATATGGAATTCTTTTTCCCTGCAGAATGCAACTCCAAACAGGAGAATCAGAGAAGTCCACAGCCATGGTTGGTACTCATCTAGCACGCTTAAAACTATCTCCATAGTAATACGCTGACCCAACCATCAGCACAACTGTACCACCTTGAGCAAGAACTCTAGCTCTCATTAGTTGCTGACCTAATTGAGAATTTCCCCGCTTGAAACTAATTAGTCCTGCTGTGAGCACTCCTGCAGTGACAAGTGCACCTGAAATTCATAAAGCCATAAATTGCACAATGAGAATATTAGTTAGGTTAGATAAAGTAAGTTCTGCTATTGACTAGAGTGTTCAACCACCATTTAGCAAAACATGAAACCAATGGATGATCAACGAGGATCCGAAGGACTAAAACGACACATAAAGGAAGATAATGCAGCTGAAACTCCTACAATACATAATTCTGCAGATGTGCCACTTCTCAAGAATTCATATAGAAGACCCAATATCCTTATAAGCAAAAACATCCATCCCACGACAGAAGACCAGGGGGAAGGAACTACAGTAGACACTGTGAGCAACATTCTCTCCCTACATGATTTACCTACTTACTATTAGCAAAGCGGCGGGTATCAGAACCTGTTCCCCACCACATGTAACACATACTAATTACTATGAAAGAATATGAGTATTGGGGTGTTTTTGTAAGTTCGATGTTTTCTAGGCTTTTGTTTAATTCAACCATGAAACGGGCAGAGTTACTTTTTTATTTGCTCAAACGTTAGCAAATACAGTTGAGTCATAAATTGGCAAAGTTGCACCATTTCTGTTTCTATCAAAGGAGAAATTAGTTTCACATTTGAGCTAAACGCCAAGCAATGAAGTTATATAGCTGAGTCTATAAGTACCATTAGACAACTTAACCGGATGAATTACCATCATCAATGCCCCATATCTAACCAATCTTTAACACTCTGTACCCTGCACAAGTCCTAAATAATGTTTGAAACATGCCTAAAGCTTAAAAGTAGGAAATTAGAAGGGAATTTAGTAAGACGGGATGCAAACAGAAGAAGAAACTAGCAAAAAGAGTTGCTGATACAATTGCAGGCTTAATGTATCGCGGTACAGCCGAGCTACCAGCAGGATTACTGCATTGCAGTAAGGCCAAGCCACCTGTGTCGTGTAAAGTTGAATTTCGGCTGCCCAAGGTTTTGTAAAGGGCTAATGCATCGCGGACAGGAACATTACCATGTTTCTCAAGAAAGGTAGAAAGTAAGGAAGTAGCCAAGAATGTGAAGCATTTCTCCTATATTACTCACTACAAGCAAGAGAACCTCCTATCTCTCTTTTTCGACAACGGAATTTATCATTGACGAGTGAACCTCCTATATTTCAACTGATTAGATACTAGCACTTGAAGGTCATAACTATCGTAATACTCCTATGGATCATCTGAGACATGGTTCAAAAATCAGCTCCATTTCTCGTACAAAATGAAAATAGTATCATGTAAAGAGGGAAAGAAGGAAGGAGTAATAAAATGCAAGAACTTGAAGCTCAAATACAAGAGTTGCAAGTTTCCATTTTAATCAATTTATGGACCGAGATTGAATAGTAGCACCCTTTTGGAATAAATTCGAGCACATATTTAGCAATTGTATAAGTTTGGCTTGATTTGATCTGATAATTCTGTATATTTGGAGATATATAAAACAACAGTACAGGTCAATAGGCACAAAAGCGTCAAATTCATCAACGAAAATAACTAAAAGCTTAAAAATTGAGCAATAATTGGATACTTATATAGAGACAACATCACAATGAATACAAAGTTGAACTATTATAGACGATCCAATACTGAAAAAATTAGACCAAAAGTTAAATTAGGGTTTGAAAAATGTACCGATAGGAACAAGAGGGTTACGGTGGCGCTTGGTATCCGGAAAGATTGAATCCAGTTCTGAATCAGCCATTCCCATTCTTCTTCTATCTCAATTCCCCTATATAATAGATAATATATCCAACAACCTTGGATTTTGTTTTTCCTTTTTGAAATCTAATTTTCTCGTTTCCTCTCTTCGTTTTAGTCTCGAGTCTGTGAGGTCTATAGTGTAACTACGTGTGCCGCTCTCTTCCCCTCTTTTCTTTTCTTTTCTTTTTTCCCTTTTCCGAAATACACCCTCTATTCCAATTTACTTATCCTTTTAAACATATCATAAAATTTATATGATTATAATACTTCAATTAGTGTTCTTAAATACATCATAATATTTATGTGACTAATAACTATAAAAGAATTCCATCAAGAGTAAAATAGGCTATTTGGAATTAATTTTTTTTACATATATAAATATGTCTTTCTTATTTATTTATTTTTTTGGTAATTTAAATTTTATTAGGAGGAAAAAAATATGTACAAGTATAACAGAAACCCTTCACTATCATTCTATAGTTGGACATGCAACCCCAACTATAGAAGGTCTTGATAAACTAATCAACACCAAATTTAAGGAAACACAAGAAAACTATGTAAGGATAGAAGTTTGGATTCTGTAGTCTCTTCACTAAGTTGGATTTCAAACTCTCTCGACAATGGACTTCTTGAATTATTAATCTGACCATGTCCTCACTTCCCCTCTTCTGATTATGAAAAGTTCTCCAATTCCTCTCTTGCCATATGTGGTATACAATACACATTAGTAACATTCTGTATATGGCTGCTAATGATCTCCTACCTGATGCAAACTGTGTAGCCCAACTGATCTCCTAAGCCCATCCTTTGACATCTCTGTTTATTCCAGCCCATTGTAGTAGTTTCCTCCATATAGCTGCTGAGTAGTTACATTCGAAAAATAGGTGCTCATGATCCTCGCCAGCTCCTTCACACAAGGAAAAAATTGGATTGATTAAGATACCCCATTTGATAAGCTTATCCCTGGTATGTATAGCCTACCCTGTATGGCTATGTATACAATAAAGATCTATTTAGGGCAACTATCATTGTTACACAACAGTTTTCTCCCTGCAACCTTTGAAAATTCTCCCCTAAGTTTGTTGTATATGTCTCTGATGGAGTAACAATCTGCAGTCATCACCTCTTCCACTCTAAGGTTTGCTTCAATTAGGTACCTGGCAGCACCTAGAATCTTTTGAGTTAGCCATGATGCTTGCTTAGCTTTGACAGTCCATGCTTCTCCTTACTTTATATAGTATATGTGCATCCATTGTATCGATAATCGGTCCTTCTTTTTGCACAAGTTCCAGAGGTGTTTAAGAATTGA